GAAGTCCGCGCCAACTTCTCGCTCTTCCTGCTAGCGCCGTCCTCGTCGCGCGCGAGTCAGCCAATCGGCGCTCTCCGTCACGCGCACGCGGCCCGGCATCGCATGCCGCTCTCGTTTCTCGTGCACCGCGGCAAGCGGCCCGCAGCCCGCGGCGCGCGTCAGTCTCACAATCAGTCGTCGTCGCACCGTCAGGATGGCGAGTTTGTCTCGTTCGCTCTCTCTCTCTTTCTTTCTCTCTCGGCTGCTTTTCAGTTTCATGCATATAATAAATGCAAGCATCTTGAAAATATTTCGATTCAAACGCCGCTCCATGCTCTTTCCAATTGTATTGGTACGTCGCCGTTGATATATGGCGATGTCCTGACAAGATAACCGAGTAAACAAATTTCTGCAACAAAAAATTAGAACAATATGATGTAAATATAATTAATACGTAATGTGACGAAACGAAAAACTAAAATACTATCGTTTATAAGATATTGTCATTTATATCGCATCTTAAGCGCTGGCTGTAGCTATCACACACGTGTCCCGTCAATTGTCAAAAACACGATTGTTTTTTTTTTGTTTTTTTTTTTTTTTTTTTTAATCTCATTATCGTTGAAATGTAAGAATATTAATTTTGGATTAATTTGAGTATTTTCACCAAGAGAATTGTTAACACATAGCATGAGATTTTAGCAAATTAATTACAATAATAATAATAATAATAATAATAATAATAAAAATAATAATATCAAATAATAAAATGTATTTTATAGAATCATTATCTAAAATATATAAAATAATTAACAAAAGATACAAGATCCCCGATATCACCCGCATCTGAATTCGTCATTGAATGCTGCGCTCCAATCTCCCTCTCTATCGTAACTCTACCTCTTTCTCTCTCTCTCTCTTCTCTTTCACGCTACCGGTTTGTGTTTTTCCCTTTTCACTCGCGCGGCTCGCGTCTACTTTTTCCTACTTTCTTCAGCGCTGACTTACGTAACTGCCGGCCGTCTCATCGAAATCAGCAACATTGTTACACGCCGGCGGGGCCGCCAGTTCCTCGTCCGACTTAAATCCTCTCGCGGTTATCCAATCTGCTTTACGCACTTTCCGATCATCTCGCATGACCTCTCCGTCTCTTTCTCTCTCCCTCTCTTTCTCTTATTACGATGCAGAATCGACTCTCGCATATGTTACTTTTCTCCCTTGCTTGTCAGATGCACAGCATCCTCCTTTGCTCTCTTGAGAGATCGATTCTTCCCATTCTTTCTCCTCCTTCGCTACACACGCCCTTTCGTTCCCTCCCTTTCCCCTTCTGTCCTACAACTTTCCTCCTCTCTTTTCTTTCCCCCAACCTTAGGTCATCCGCCCTTCTCGGCTTGTCATGTTCCGTTCCTTCCTCTCTCTCTGTTCCTCCAACTTTCTTCCATCTTCCGCGATATCTTCTCGCCATAGCAATCGCATCGTCGAGATGACCACCTCGCCTACCTTGTTATCTCTATTTTAATTTCTGTATTATTAATTTGCGAGAGAAATTGTTCTTTTTTTAATCAACCATAGTCCGAGAGAGAATCATTTCATTTCTGTCGCGGAAGAATTATTTCAATTCTCGATTCCTCGAACATTCGTCATATATATCAAATACGCCTATCACGAAACATCATGTATATATACGTTTTGCACGAGATATCACAGTCAGAGCTCTTAATAAACGCAATTTATTATTCTCAGAGTTTCTTGTTCCTTCGGCGAACACCGTCCCCGTCGTCGTCGCAAGAGCTAACCAGGATTTATTATCTCTTACGTCGCGCAGCATCTTTTGAGGCAGGTTAGGGTGCTTAACTAAGCCGAGAAAGGTCTGCCCCCCCGAAGGCTGGCGTAATCGCCATTCTAAGAAAGAGAGAAAGAGAGAGAGAGAGAAATCAATCCGTCGTGGCGATTGATTTCCACGTGATACGGTAAATTAGCGTGATCAAACTTCAACATGTAAAAAACGATCACAGTGTATAAGCGCAATTGAAAGTTATTTTCTTTTACATCGAGAGATTACTTGAGATGATAAATTTATTATTTTTATGCAACTACATAAATAATAATATAATAATGATCTGCTATCTATAAATATAGCACGTTAAAAAATTTATATGTCGTTAACTTGAAGCAAAAATAAAGCAAGCAAATGAGAGAAATTTCCCAAAACTGTGTATATATAAATAGAACAAGTTATAAATAAAACAATTTCGAATATCTTAATAATAATTGATGACTATTGTTATTCACAAAACACATCTATTAATCATAAAATTATCGTTACGACATATTAATTACATGTCAATATGATAAATATAATTTCGAGAATGTTCTCCGTGTGATACTGTGTATTTTTCGCTGGAAAAACTCGAGAAAACAAAGAAACGTATCGTTCAAAGACCTTAAACAAAAATTTGGATCAACCTATATAGATCAGTAGGTTAAGTTGATATCAGCGCAGATATAAATCACGTGTGCAGCAATCGTCGAAATTCTCTCTCTTCTTCCGTGAATGCCAGATAATGAAACGTTAAGCTAACAAAATTTTCGATTAAATATAGCCCGTAGACGAAATAATCAATCAACTTCGGTTGGTAAACAAAGACTGAAGCCGCGCGCGCGCGCGTTTAGATTACCTTTCATATATTTATTATTGTCGATTATTATTAGATCAGTACTTACAGAATCATCTCTAAACGATCGTTGATTGTTAGATTATCATCATTAGATTATTTTCGTCGAAGATTGCTGCTGGCAGATGGTGAAATATATATATCCCAAAATATTTCCGTATATTTATGATTAAACACTTATTTGTGAGGATGTGAATTGGCAAAACTTCTAGTTTTTTTTATGATTTATCTATCGAGTATTTATGTTTTATATAAATGTTCGTATATATAATATCTACAAAATTTGTCGAGTCCCATCAAAAAGATGATAAATATATATCTCCTATTTCGAATAAACAATGCAGTAAAATCCTACATTGTTTCGCATTTAGACGAATGTTACGCGAAAAGATTGAGAGATATAAGAAAAGAAAAAAATTTGCTCGAAAGTGATAAAGATTGCACATCGTAATCTACCGGTGAATCGCGAGATAGTCAGATAATTCGCGTGAACAATTCCGTCTCTGCCTAAACGCAAAGATTTATAGATGTAATATGAACGGTATTAATTCATAAATCCCAGACGGTATTACGATCCGCACCAAACTTGTGATTCATAAATCCCGGAATTTATGCGCGCGTTCGGAATGCCAAATGAAAACGCGCTTAAACTTTGTGCATATATAAATGTGCATATGTTATATGTCTTTTTGAAAAGGTAATATTATTCGAAATAAATAAATTGCAGGATATATTTTAATCCTAACTAAAAAAAATTCACCGTTCTCTATTTTTTCGAACATAAATTTAATTTGTGACAGATATAGATATTTGATTAAATAAATAGTACAACAGCATATTTTTTTCTGATGCTAAAAATAATAAAAATAGATTGTTATTAAATTCTTAGATTATGAATGATGGGATAAATTAAGCAGTATTAAATATTTATTAAGTATCTAACACTGCTCAAAATACACATACACGCAAGAGAGATGCAAAATTTTTGTCTTTCTACAATTAAAAATACAAAAATGTTTTTGCGTTTAAATAAATCTAATTTAGAAATGTATATAACAAATTTAAATATATTCAAATAAAATATATATAACTACTATATTCTACACAGTTATTATAACTACATAGATATATTTTCAGTACTTATATATAATAATACTTATAAATTTGTATATTAAATTTGAAAATTAATTATTTAAAACGAAACAAAAAAATCTATCTATCTTTTCTGAAACGGCATTCGTTTTTCAACCATTATTTTATCATGGATGTTAGGATATTTCCCCCAAACTATTGAAAATCGATATTGTGTAATAGAAGAACAATTTCGATCGACAAAAAACAAGATTACGATAGCCTCGCGTGCAGCAATTGGAAAATGTTCTTACAGTTTATTTCATCGCTTTTAATTCCGAAAGAAATCCACAATTGTGAAAAAACATAACGCTATCACACAATTAAACAATAGAAAACTCACAATACTCATTTAAAATCACATACATATAATTTTAACAATATGGATTTTCAGAATATGCACTCTCGAGTCATACCAAAGATTGATACGCAAAATCATCAAAAAAAAATTTAAATATTAGCTGACAAAAGAAACGAGAGAGAGAGAGAGAGAGAGAAAGATTCGTATATTTATAAAAATGGTTTTAAAAAATAATATTTAATAATGCACAATAATATTACGTGTATCCGAAATATATTGCATTTATTCGATTAATGCTTTAATTTTTCATAAGTACTTTAAATTTCATTAGCTATGTATATCGAAGAGTGCATGATTTTCTCGATTACCTGAGAGATAATGCGAACGTAAAGATGCGATAATAAACAAATTAAGCAAAGTAATCAAATTTTATTACACGTGTAGGATTCATAGAAACGTATATCATAGCGCGATATGCGATCATGTTGGATTATTTGAATTACTGGCGCGAGACTTTATCGCGCGTTGGCACGAGCATGCCGAATACAGTAGTATCGCTATACTTGTTCAATAATTTAATATGCAAACGCGTATGACGCATGATAATCGATATGCCGTAGATCGTGAGACTTCAATGCGAAATTTTTATTGCGAGCAAGCAATTTTCGCATTTTTTTCTCGTCTCGCGAGAGTCCGCGGTGACGATCTCCGTTTAACGGGGAGGAAGAGGAGAACGTTGTTGCTAGTGGAGAAGGAGGTGGCGATGGTGGTGGAGGAGGAGGCACACGGGTTCGCTTTTGCCTGAGCGTACCCGTTCGTTCACCCTAGCGGGGGCACCAACCTGGCTTTACTTCAGTTACACGCTGGGAGAGCTGGCGCGTTGTATATACGTATATATTGTATGTACACATATATATGTATATAAAAATGCATGTATTTTTTATACAAAAATTTGTACACACATATATATATATGTATAGAAAACTATATATAATAATAATATATATACATGCCCACACAGAGGTTTGCACTTAAAAATACCGGAGCACAAAAAATGATGAAAAATTAAATAACTAAAATGCCTGTCAATCGCGTATATTTAAAATAATCCACTTGCGCGAATCGCATGACTAACTTTTTTTTTTTTAGCGTGAAATGCACGAACGGTTGATGAAGTCATCATTCGATTGTTCAACTATAAATTATAATTAGCCAAAGTTTAAATTTCTGTATTAAAAAAAAGAAGAATTATCGTTCGCGGATTATAAAAGCTATCACGTTACGGTGCCTTTAAGCGCGTATTTCTGGACACCTTGTATAAAGGTATATAATACATTCTCGCGTATACTTACACCTAGTATAGGTGGGTATACAGGGAGCGTACTGAGAGTGTCCCGGTCGAGCACGACGCGATTCCACAGCTCCTCGCCAAAAAGAGAAAGAAAGAGAGAGAGAGAGAGAGAGAATGAGTGAACGAGGCGACTTTGCCGGTCCGTTCCGAAGAAAGAGAAAGATGGAAAGAGAAGGAAAGACGCGGGACCGCGAAGGAAAAGGAAAAAGACGAGCGCTTTTGTTCGACCGCTCCGGACGAAGCGCGAGTCGCTCCTCTCCTCTCGAGAGAGACTCTCGACGTATAGAAGGAATGAAGACATTACTGTCCGCGGTAATACTTCGTCGACCGTTTCTTGGGCCTGGAAGAGAGGATGCCTCGGTCCGCGAAGAGACGCCCCCGGACGTCTGCCACGAACGTCGAATTCGCTGGTTGTGCAATTTCCAACGTCACGATGGAATTTGCACCGCTTAGAATCGACGTCGGCTTATAGTCGCACGTCGGGTTCTTGACCTAAGACTAAGCACGAGCGAGCGAGCGAGCAGGAGTTTCGATTTCGGAACGCCGAACGACGGAATCGACGAGCTTCCTCACGATAAAAATAATTTCAGAGAAAAGCGATGTTTCCCTGTCCTCTCGAAGAAAGAGAGAAAAAAAGAAAGAGAGAAAAGGAAAGAATGCTAGGTCTTTATTCACGTTATCGATTGACGTGATTCTGATATGACTTTAATAAATAATTTACGATAGAATTGGAAATAGAACGATTACGACGTTGCTATATAGTTACGCGAGATTAAGTGATTAAGTAATTAATCAATATACATTTGACACGCGAAAATATTAGGAATAACGAGTCAAGTTCGATGCATTGACCATTCTAATGGACACGGGAGCGGTCACCGTATCCGTTGGGCTAGACCTCTGCGGATGATGGGAATAACTGACTTCCATGTCAATCTCATCGAGCTCCTCCTCCTCCTCCTCGTGGGTATCCGATTCGTCTTCCTCTTCGCCCTCGCCTTCCTCCTCCTCCTCCTCCTCTTCTTCGCCTTCTGATCCTCTGAACTAGATTTTTCATTCACGCGAGAAAATCGGTATATATATTAATATTAATATGTGCACTCTGCATTATATTAATATGTTTAAGTACAGACGTTTCCTGGTCGAATGCATCGAATATAAACATCCGTAGATATCCGTGTATCATAACTTAGAACTATGCTCGACAATTTGACATTTTTTCAAATGTTTGATACGCGTATAAAAAATTAAAAAATAAATAATAAATAATAATAACAATAAGTTTTACGAAATATTATATTATATCTAGTATAGAAAATACAATGTGGATTTTTTAATCAACAGATCATGATACATGATGCGTTCGACCTGGAAATATTTGTATGGAGTATGTGTGGTATGTGATATGTGTGGGTGTGTATTAACATAAATTGAAAGGCATTAAGAATATCGAGTATACCTTCGTAATTCTTCTAACTTTGTTAGGTCACGCAAAATCTATACATTTCTAATTATTATCACAGTTAAAAATTTAACTATAATGTACATCACGATTGTATTAACACAATACCGACGGTAAGAATTTCTACTGATGGTAAAAAATATAAGCCCCATCATATAGCAACTACGTGCAGGTTAAAGTCGCATGATGGCGCAATTTACCAGGATACAACAGTTAAAATTCAATTATATATACTCTTTTTTTTTAATAAAAAAAAAATTCTATTGTTATACTAGAATTGTTTTTTTCAATATATATTACTTCTTTGCTTGTTTTGTAATCTTGTGATGTTTTGTAATTTTGTAATCTCAACTAAAGGAGAGTTTATTTATAAAATTAAAAATCTCAATTCTTTAAAAAGGAATTTTTTTTTACAGAACTATAGACAATCTCCAATATATGAGATAATCTTAATAAACAAAAGATTCAGGAATCAGTGGAAAAGAATTGATTCTTGCACTTTTATCAATGTCTATATTTTATGTTATATGGCACTGATCTTTCCATAATATTTATTTATTTATTATTTCCATAATATTTATTTATTAAATATATATGTATAATATCCATATTATGTCTAAATATATAAAAAGCGTAAAAAATAAACAGAAAATAGAGAAAACTTAACAGCATTCTTTCTTGAGCTAGAATGTATATTAATTTATCTTTCCTCTACTTATTATCCTCTTAAAAATTATATGAAATCTATTAAATAATTTGATTCAAATTCTATGAGATCAAAACACAAAATTACTGAGATACAAACTATATATATGATAAAAATAAAAAAGAAATATGTCCATTACAATAGGAACATTAGAGGCGAAAGAATTAATATACATTATTAATAAATATAAATGAAACGATGGTAAAAAATAACACATGCATAAATAACGTTGATCAGATTAAGTCAAGTTAGGTTAGGTTAGGTTAGGTTAACTTACGTCGCTCACTGTCTTCCCGATCGGGATGTGCTCGTATCCCTGCACCCGCACATGATCTCTCTGAAAAAAACGAAGGAACGTGTATAGCAAGGACGCTCGCGTTATTATTACTTATTTATTCGGTCTATTCCAGCACTTACCCAGGCCTGGTGCTCCGCTTCAATATGTCCATTACAATAGGAACATTAGAGGCGAAAGAATTAATATACATTATTAATAAATATAAACGAAACGATGGTAAAAAATAACACATATGCATAAATAATGTTGATCAGATTAAGTCAAGTTAGGTTAGGTTAACTTACGTCGCTCACTGTCTTCCCGATCGGGATGTGCTCGTATCCCTGCACCCGCACATGATCTCTCTGAAAAAAACGAAGGAACGTGTATAGCAAGGACGCTCGCGTTATTATTACTTATTTATTCGGTCTATTCCAGCACTTACCCAGGCCTGGTGCTCCGCTTCAAGAGCGGCAACTTCGGTCTCGTCATCGCACGGTCGATCGGCGTTGAACCACAGCGGATCGGTCGCTCGCGGCCGTAAATCGGGCCAAAGCGGCCTGATCGACATCACGATAACGTGACAAGAATCCGTCAACGATTAACACAGATATAATCTTTCCAAGCTCTTGATTTCTTGTTCGTTCCTTCGCTTCCGCGCGTATGACGTATCGACGAAGTTTGTAAACACGACGGACACACATGCGCGTGAATGCGCGCGCATGTGATATCGGCGTAGTCGGGTGCAATTTCACTTCGTTTGTCGACATTGCCAGATGCGACGATTGGCTATCGAATAAAGAATTCCTAGAGTCTCTATCGAGATTCTAAGAATTCTTCTATCGGTTTTCTAACTGATAGCCGATCACCGTATCCGACAACGTGGACAAACGTTAAGTAAAATCGCAGTCTTTACCTACTTTCAACTTTCAACTGGCCAATAAGCATTGACCGCGTTCGGCAGAGAAAGCGCTCAGTTATCGTCTTGTCAACACTCGACGTTGATTTGTTGGTTCTAAAAGTAAAAGCCAATCACGTTCGATTACTACTGAGCGATTTTCTCTGCTGAACGCGGCCATTAATGACGCCGAGTGTGACATATATTCGTCTAGATGGCACTTAAAACACTATTCTAAAGCGAAATACGGGGGGAGTTAGCTATCTATTTTCCTATATCATCTGTGGTTTATTAATGGATTCGGTAAGAGCGTGTCAGCAGCGTTTAAACAGTAGGGAAAAAGGAGCGGAGGAAAGTCGTGCTGTCGGGCGTGTGCGAGAAGAATTGCCTCATTCTACTGTCGTCGCTCGACCTGACTTCGACCTCCGTCGCCGATTATCGCACAGCGTGACATAACCTTGCTCGCAGAGGTAAGCGACTTTTCATATTTTTCTGGAGCTCCTCTATCGCCAGCTTTGTTGGTTCTAAAAGTAAAAGCCAATCACGTTCGATTACTACTGAGCGATTTTCTCTGCTGAACGCGGCCATTAATGACGCCGAGTGTGACATATATTCGTCTAGATGGCACTTAAAACACTATTCTAAAGCGAAATACGGGGGGAGTTAGCTATCTATTTTCCTATATCATCTGTGGTTTATTAATGGATTCGGTAAGAGCGTGTCAGCAGCGTTTAAACAGTAGGGAAAAAGGAGCGGAGGAAAGTCGTGCTGTCGGGCGTGTGCGAGAAGAATTGCCTCATTCTACTGTCGTCGCTCGACCTGACTTCGACCTCCGTCGCCGATTATCGCACAGCGTGACATAACCTTGCTCGCAGAGGTAAGCGACTTTTCATATTTTTCTGGAGCTCCTCTATCGCCAGCGCGAATCCTCTCGCTCTCTCATGCACGTGTAACGTGATTTTTTCCGCGATTGTTTCCGCTTTCGCGGCTTTGTCTTTCTGTTCCGTTCATTTTACCGAGAAAACAAATCTCTCCGTTGATTAATTATAGAAGGAGAGCAATCGCAAGCACTTCGCATTCTTATCTTTTTTTATTTCGCTCATTTTTAAAAGAATTATTTTCTCCTTTTCCTCTAACGAGATTTCCATCACGGAGATAAATTTCAAATGGCCTTCACTTCTGTGAACAAAATTCTCGTAGTTTTTAAAATGTTTTTAAAGTGGCTTTTAAATCCTGAAAAAAGATCCGGGCAGGTAAATACTAAAGAAATTCATCTACGTGAAATTTTTTTATATTCTTAAATTAATGAAGATTCTCGTGTAGAACGTTTAGGAATTGTCTATAGAAAGGATTGCCATGACTTTATAATCGTACTTTTCTTCCATCTGAAGCGCAACTAGTATAGATAGAGACATGAAGTGATTTAGAAAGGAATCCGGAGTCGCGCAGTTACTTAATGACAGCTGTGAGCTGTGAAGCAAGTTTTCTCACGGATGCATCATCTCGCAAATCTTTCCTCGATGTAACATATGTTACAGTTGCGTCAAAAATACCTTCAATTGTATAAAAAATGAATATATTTTATAACGAATTTATAAAATAAAGACGCCTAAATCACGACGAGACAAAGAGCTAGAACACTACAGAGTTCACTTTCACGACGTGAAAGTTGATACTTACTATCAAGTTGCGCTTGCGTTTGCTTATTCAGATCAACAGCGGATATTTATGCTTCTCTTCTACATCCCTCAGTTGAACGCGCTAATTAATAGTGATTTACCGTCATTGATTCAATTGGAGCCAATATCGCCAACCCTCGGCTGAGAATTTGCATCATCGGACCGATAGCTGAGTTTATGATGAAACTGCACGAAGATACGAGAGCAAGAGATTTACGCAAAAAAAATTTCCAGCATGAATATATGTTATTTTAAAATATGTCGCACTTGACTACGATATTACGTAATTAATCGCGTTGATAGTTGACACTTTTTTTTTCTACTGATTATAAATTTTTATTTTTATTTTTGCAAAGTCAGTTTCGTGTAACTTATGAGCAATGTTAGAATGTACGTTTTTCGTAAAGTTAAATAAAGTCTGCTCCATGTATATTTTTTTATAAACGAAAATTGGAAATTAGATTTTAAAATAGTCGAGTTTATATAGATTTCTCAAGTTTTATAAATATATTATATTTGCTAATATATTATCAGAGAAATAAAATTATGCAGAATGATAAAAATTTCGAATTGTGTCAAAAATTAAAAAAAAAAAAAATTAGGCAGATCATAAAATTACTCGGTAGTTACAAAATCGCTTATTTGAGAGTTCAGTTAAGTAGAAAGGGTGAAAGGAATACAGCGAAATGTTCGCTCTAGTGAGATTTGATATAACTTTAGGCGCATATCTGCACGATACTATTAGCACTCGTAATGAGACTTCTTAGCAACCGCTTATATGGAAATATCTTGAATTCTTCGCATTTTTTCTTTCATTTACTAGAGAAGGTCTTTGATATGAGAATTTTCTTTTAAAATATTGCAGATTAATAATTTTTAAATTGCAAATGCTTAAATATGCTTTTCGCAAGTTAAGCTTTAAAGACATAAATTAAAACATAACGGAACTTTATTCTCTGTTTAACTTTTAATGAATTATATTTTTTCGGAATTTTAATTTGTATTCTAATTATACAAAGATATTTGATATTGATTATTTGAGAAGAGTATAACAAATTCGATTTTTTTCTGCTGAAAAAAGAAAACTCGACATCTAAATTGATCAAAGAGATCGTATAAATGAATGGAAACCGATTTGAATTTACGATCCGAGTTCATTGTAATGAAATTCTGCTACACGTGACACATATTGACACGCTACAATGATCTCGGGTACTTTCGTATTGTTGTCGCGGTTGAAAATTTCTCGCGGGAATTTATCCAAACGCGTTCACTCTAATTCAATCCATGAACGATTCCACTAGTTGATCGATATTTCGGGTTTTTATTTCCAGGAATTATAACGCGTGCTTTCCTTCGGCATGTTCTGGTATTTCGATATTAAAGATTCCTACAGCATGGTATATTGTCGATTGGTATTGGTGTCAGAATGCATTTTTTGTCGATATCTATCATGAAATATGGGATATCATATAAAACGTTTATTTCGATCGATGCATTAATTTTTTTAAATTTTTTAAAACGGCAAATATAGGCTCAAGAAGAGAGAGAGAGAGAGAGAGAGAGAGAGAGAGATTCGGTGTTTCCGAGATTTCAATTCTAAATCTTTTCTCGTGATGTATGTCAAAATTTGAAAATTTTATTAGTTTGCAACGAAAATTTCGCTGTATTTTTCACGTTTAATATCATGTATAGATCGTTCTATTTATTGTTCGATTTAACGAAAATGTCGAATGAGGTCATCACTTACTCCTTTCCTCCATAGACCTTCAATTTCCAGTATTAAATATCGTTATTAAGTAACTCTTAAATTACAATACCGTTCAAATAAAATATATTTGAAATAAAACGAAAATGAGATTTTACCATCTATTTTTATCCCGAAGCTAACTTTTCGGAAAGCCTTTCATTTTCTGTTACTTATAACTTGAAAATTATTTCTCAATGCTTTTGTTAAGAATATCTAATATTACAAAAATGATTTAAAAAATTTGTTATTATCTGTCGTTTTAAGTAATTTTGTGTCTTAAATTCTTGCAATTGATTTTAAATTCACTGGAGACATATACTCTTGTAATTATACGCAGATCTCTAAAATATTGAGTTTATTATTCTATTTTATTGCTCATGCTTTGTTTGTAATATTTCTGTCTCCTTTTTCCGGATATTTTATCCTTGTTACTTTTTCCGTGCTATTTCTTCTGGTCGACGCTTCCTGTTTTTTTCCTTTTTTTTTTTTTTTTTTTAAGGAGTTTCTTTCTGTCATGGGTTTTAATCACGTACGCGGTTTTTACGGTTAAACCGATACTAGATAATGATGAGTCATTTTCATCAACCGGAATATCTTGACTAGCAACGGTTATTTCGTTTTTTAATCGGGTTCTAAGATTTCCTTACGAAACATTTAGTGGAAATGTTGAACGGTACTGGATACTGGACAATTATTGATACTGGATATTTTTATAATATTACGCAACTTTGAGCCGAGATAGCTGATACTACCTGAATGAGATAGTCAATAAAAAAATAAATGATGCGATGATTGTAATGATAGCGTTTGTAGTTTTCATCGAGGTATTTAATTTTGTTGAAAGATTGAAACAATGGCGCTTGTTTGAACCAAGTAATATGCAATAATAGCCTGCGCAATCGAATGCACGCATCCAAACGCATTCTTCAGCGTGTCTTTATCTGTTGCTTCCGAGCTTTCTCCTCAGAACGCGATACGAAATGAGAAAATAAGAAAGAAAAATCATTTGATTGGTACTGCGATTTTTATAGAAAGTTTAGATCCCGATGCTACACATATACAAAAATTGATTTTCGTGTATATTTGGCGATCAAAACAACAATTGGCGCAATTTTTCGTTTACTGTACTCAAAATTTTAAACTGACTAAAAAATTATAATGCGCGAGAGAGAAAGAGGAAAGAGGAGATTATTTATTTTTCTCTTTGTACATTAAAACTATTTTTCATCAATTTATCCTTTTTTAGATTATTATTTATTTTTAATTTTTTATCGTTGTAATTCAATCTCGGTCGCTGATTTGTTTGTAAATACACGGTGATAATTCTTTTAAATGATCATGTATCGTGCAATGTTTGATCGATCGATAAGATTCCGAAGTATCGAGATATTTTATGTACACTTCTTATCGGTGTCGTTACAGTTCCAGAACAACATTTATCGATACATATGTACATCCTTATAAACCTACCTTCATATTTTGGCATATTTTTGTATTATTGTCGCTATCAACTTTCCTCGTTTAAACAGCTTTAGTATTTCATTATTTTTTGATTTTTCTGATTTAAAATTTTTATAGATTTGGATGAAATTTACGATCTTAATTTTAATGATAGATTTTCTGGCCAATTTATAATCGAAGAAGATCATCACCTGTTACAATTTTTTTTTTTTTTAAATTTACGACATGCATAATTACAAATAAGTTTTGAATTAAAATTTCAGTTAGAGTATTTATTTTCTTGAAGCTTATTTCACGTATATATGGTGTGTATATATAAATGGTTGTTACACAAGTACAAAGATATGTCTTATCTATCTTAAAGACACACATTATACGATTATATACGCGATAAAAATATTTCCGAATAAACAATCAAATTACTTTCAGAAGCAACATTTTACATTACCTCTATGTTTGCAATCTTTGTTACTTCAAATTATGCTTATAAATATACTTAAAAAATTTTTCCATTGCTTTTTCCTAACTTTTTCTTCGTTTCCGTGCAAAAGAATCTTATCGTAAATCGTTAATGAAATGATAATGCTACCTTGAAAAGTGTATAATTTGAAGTAACGTTTGAACTGATATATTTTCGACTCATTACTTCACGAGATATCGCTGTTAACTTTAAGAATATTTGTGTATGATGTTATCACAATGTGGCATTCTGTTGAAAAAATATAATTTTCAAGTGAAGAATTCTTTTTGCTAAATCAAATTTATAATAACTTCTTTCTCGGTATGTCTTTTAATATAAAATACAATATGTAGATATAAAAAAAAAATTGCAACTTTTTCAATAGAACGATCTTTAGATCTGGATTAAGGAAATGTTTTGGATTCTCATATTTCGGATTTGTATACTATTATCACAATGGAATTGTGATAATGAAGATTTCGCATAACAAAAAAAACGATTTGATCAAATCTTGAAATCTGATAAAGCTTTCTAACTATCTTATTATCTTCGGTCCTTTATATAATTTTGGAATAGAATCGAAAGAGGTTGAGCGTATTCGATGGATTTTATCAAAGCATATCGAGTTAAGAATTTTCTTCCTTCTTACAGATGTCTCATGATCATGCGGGCCACATGATGATGAACGGGACAATAGATCACGCGTCCCATGGTGTACATATGGCTCACATGGGTATGGAACATACGAGCATGAACCACGAAGGTATGAACCATGGAAGCATGGATCACGCGAGCATGAATCACGGGACCATGGACCACGGGAGGATGGATCACGATGTCGGGGCTTCGACGAGCGACGCGTGCAGCGACATGGGCTCGCACGGTATGTCGGTAGGTATAAGTCGTTTATCCAACACCCAGTGCTATGCTAACGATATTATTTGCTTTTCACGGCTTAGATGACATTTCACACCGGCTACTGTGAATCGGTGCTGTTCGAGAACTGGAAGATTTCGTCGATCGGCAGTCTCATCGGCTCGATGATCGGTATTGTGATCATGGCCGCGCTCTACGAGGGTTTGAAATACTACCGGGAGTACTTATTCTGGAAAACATACAACGCCCTGCAATATAGGAGCGTCACCGTGCCGAGTGAGAAGAACGTGGTAGCCGAAGACAATCGAGTCGTTCAGTAAGCTCTCTTATTGTCAGATGAAGCATTGTCAGTGATCCTGCAAAAAGCGTTGTTTCTCCCATATTTGCTCGTGCAAGAATATTCATAATTTTACTGTGAGAAATTTGTGTATGTGTGTATGTGCATGTGAAGAGTGTCAAATGACATTAAATAGTATATAATCTTCAGGCATCTTTTCATTTCAAAACCAAAGAGCAATATTCTTTTGCAGGATCGCTAAAACGCATAAACGATAGTTTATATTATCAATTTAATCGTTAAATATGCTTTTTTAGTATGGTTGGAGAAGTAATCCATAAGCAACCGTAAGTAAATGATATCTTACGAGATATTGAGATTTTCTTTCTGAATTGTACTTTGCAATATTACAGTTATTATTAATTGATGTGATGCAGCTTGTAAATAGCAACAATTATAATGTGTTTTAGTGTTTTGTTAAGTGATTCTCATATTATTGTAAAACTTGCATGTATGATATATCTTTTTAAAAGGACTTTATATATCCTCTCTCTTAGGTATCAAGTACAAAATACTTCATTTGTCAAATATTTTCAGCATGTCTGTTCTATCAATATTTCCGCTTGTTTCATGTGTGTCTTCATATTTCCAATTAGACATTTTCGAATTGACTTTCTTATATTTAATAATTGTATCTATATATTAAATTAAGAAAGTTGCACAAATAATTTCTGAGATGCAGATATTAAATATTTATTTTTTCTTAAATTTTTTCTTAACTTAATGCTGCTAATGGCTATATATTACATTATCTCCTAAACCTAAATAACTAAAAATTTAGTTATTAACAGCATTGAATCATTTAGGATATTTATGAAAAACTACATATTTTGTTTCAGAAATTATATATGACTCAATTCGCAAATACAATTATGAATAATCAGCATAAAAATTCTCCACTTTGTATTTTGCTTTTAATACTAATTTGGTGGCTTTTAAAACTGCGAATTATTGAAATCTATAAATCAACTTTCAATTTCATAGTTTTAAATGGATTCGGGCGTAACTAGATACATTAATCTGTGCAGGCCGACTATGCTGTCCTGGATGCATTTATTCCAAACGTTTCTGCACATCGTGCAAATCGTCCTATCGTACTTCTTGATGCTAATCTTCATGACATATAATGTTTGGTTGTGCTGCGCCGTTGTAGTAGGTGCTGCTATCGGTTACTTTCTGTTCGGTTGGAAAAAGTCGGTAATCGTAGATGTTACGGAACATTGTCATTAGCATTCAATAAATTGCTTTAATTTACTCTTCCTGAACTGTACTCATGTGAGAGTACAATTGTACTTTGACGGAAAGCCGTTTAAATGTAAAAGAAACATCAAGATTAAGAGAGCAATGTAATGTTCTGCGTATCAAACAAGAATATAGAGAATTTATCTTCTCTGAATTCATAATATATACAATAAATATAGAAATATAGCAGGATGCAGGAAAAAAATATTTATTTTAGTTTTATAATTTAGCTTTGTATATTCATTTTCCTTGTCCTGAAAAAACAATTTAAGAGAACCTATTAAATTATCTTTAAATTATCTTTAATCAAACATTTTACAGAATTATTATATAAGTTCTACACACAAATGGAAGAGATTTTAGAATAATTAGTAATTCATCATTGTATCATGAAATAATTTTATAAGGAATAACTGGGAGCTTGAATCTTAGATAAATGTGGCAAGTTGTAAATATTGTTAAGATATTTGTATAAGAAATATGTTGTCAAATGCATACACTTTTTCCCAATTTTATATTTTTATTACCCGTTTTATTATACTTTTGGAAGGATTCCTGCTAGTATCAATAAATTTTTAATATTTGGGAAAAAGGATGTGTGTGTCCACATTATCTTAAATAATTGTAAAAACATACCATTATAAAATAAACTGTTACAAGTTGATACATATTGCATATATTACATAAAGATTGCATTATAATTTCATATAAAATATCTCACAAAATATTTCAAACGAGAAAAAAAAATGTAAAGAAATTTAAAAAAATAAGGAGTTATATAATTCTTTTCCTCCCTTTTGTCTTCATGATATAAATTCTTGTCTCACATATTATCGTTATCATCTTCCAATTTTTTTTGTTTCATATTTGCGATACATTTTTCTGGCAAATAAAAAAAATTTTGCCATAGTTATGAAAGAGGAAGGATAATGTTAATATAATTGATTAATGTGTATAATTATAAAATTATGACACTCTGTAAACAAGCACAGTATAGTTTATTTTTCCTTGCAAAATCGTGTCTCCTAGAATTATAAAATCTTAAGGCATACATACACACATATTGTACATAAGTCACATGTACATACGAGAAATAGCCTTGTTTACTAAGTATGTAAAAATTAAAAAATAACAATTAATACGCGCGCGCGTTTTTTTTTCGTAAATAATATATTTATATGTATCTGTGCAGCAGTATCTTTAAATAACAATCAATACGCGCGCGCGTTTTTTTTCGTAAATAATATATTTATATGTATCTGTGCAGCAGTATCTTTAAAAAAATAATTCATAGATCTTTCGATATAGAGATTTGGAATAAGAATGATGCTTATGTATTGTGGTGATTATGAGATGAAGTCATCTCTCACCTTGATATGATTAGTGTTTTATGTACTTAATATTTTAAGTATCATCATATATTTTATTATAAATTTATATACTTCACATATAGTAATTATATATAGCACATATAAAAAGCACCAGCATGTGCACATTTTATACACAGTTTAAATCTTGTTGGAAAATTGTTACATACTTTTCTCCTTGTGCTATATGAGGCTGTGTTTCTGAAGAATCAAGAACCTTGCGAATAAAATGTGCGGCGATGATTGTTTATAAAAAATTTCACTCCTTCATAACATTATTAATTAGTAGAAAAATTGTTAGACATTGAATGAGAAATATTCTAAGGGCAGAAAAGCATATGCCGCATTTTGTACAAATATCAAATTCACATATAGATTCGCACATGAATATCCATAGCAAGATTATGCTTAAATAAAAAATACATGTTACTTTACTGTTCTCAGACGTATATCGCGAGGATAAGGCAAATTTAGATTACAAAGCTAAAATTACATCTTATGCCTATCCCTTATTTAATAAAGCAATTCATGATTATTATTATTATTATTATTATTATTATATTTTATCACAAGCCAGTGGTGTGTGAAAACACTTAAAATACTGTTAGTAGTTTATTAAGAGCTGCACAAAGCGTTGATAGGACGTTTAACTTGATCTTAAGGTTGTATTCTGGAAATATATATATATATATATATTTCCAGAATACAGAATATATATATGTATATCTCACACAATACATTATTTGTCTCATATACGACTTCTGTGGCTTTACTTGAGTATTTTGTTAAGATTCATAGAAAAGAAAGACTTAATCAGCAAAATCATCGTTCATTCACTGCTAATAATATCCTATAAATTAGACCACATTCTTTGGAAATTTTAATCAGCCTTAAGTAAAAAATTTGTAACAATATATGCCGTTTACATACAATCGACGTAATTCCAGCGTGTCAATAAAGAAAGTTTACCATATAATGAAGAGAATATTGTAGGCAGGCAAGAGATTCTCTTCAAATTACTTTGTTAGACCTAGAAACAAAGTATGCCATGTGTGAAGAAATAATATCTTAAGTATAATTTGTAAAAATATCTATCTCTGACAAAACTGAAAAGAGAAACTGAGAAATGAGATTAATTAATCAGACATTTAACTTTAACAAGTCCGAATTCTTTACGGATTAAAAATAAATTTTCACGAGGTGTGCATCCTTCTGTAAATTTATAAAAAATCAGTAAAATTATATCTTACACTCATATTGTGTAGTGTTCTTATTGATCCTAAAGAGAGTAAAAACATCATTTCTACGTATTCAATTTGTGACATGTACTCCTTCCAAATGTAAAGAAACTTTAAATGACCATTCCAAAAATGTTGTATTGTCTAAGATTGTATATATATGCTTATCTTCTTACAACCCATTTCAATTAGCTGGTCACAAATGAAGATCTTGAGAAAAATGTATCATGCATTATTCCATAGGAACATAAAATCAGAAACTAATGAAAATCATAAGCTGTGACCTACTCAGCGCTGGACACAGGCATGCAGCAGCTCGAACGATGTGGAGACTGCTGTTTAGAAAGATCGACAGTGTCTTCCACTAAAGGCCGTTCTAATCTAGCTTCTAATCTCGCCCATGCGTCAACCGCTGCCCCAAATGCTGCTTCAACATTAGTGGCATCTTTCGCTGATGTTTCAACTAGCGGAGGACTGCCATTTTCTAAACACCAAGCTTGAGCTTCTTCTGTGGAAACCTGCTTCTCAGACTCTGTAACATCCACCTATAAAAAAAATAACACTTCTTACACTAAGGTAAGATCACTCGATGTAAATTCTGCTTGCTCCATAGCTTACCTTATTACCAACAACAATAAATGGAAAACTGGAGTCTTCTTGAACATCTGCATACTTAAGAAATTCAGATCTCCATAGCGTTAGATTTCTAAAACTCGTCCTATCATCTACTGCATAAGTCAGAAGACAAATGTCTGAGCCTCTATAGAAAGGTGTTCTGAGAGTTTTAAATCTCTCCTGACCGGCGGTATCCCATATTTGCAACGTATACGCTTCGCCATTAATTTCAATATCTTTGTTCAGAAATTCTACTCCAATAGTGTGAAAACTGTGTTCATCGAAATGATTCGATACGAATCTGTTCATAAGACAGGACTTTCCAACACCACCATCTCCAAGTATTACTACTTTTAGAAGGGTAGATCTTTGGGAATTGCGATTTTGAAAATTACCGCCTCTGTTTGTACTCATCGCCGCTGAATTGTTCGCCGACATTTTCCAACTGTTTTATTTTTTTCGCGAGAAATAATGCTGTGTTTTACACGTCAAAAATTATCTGACGCGAACAAAGTCTTGTGTAATAAATATCTTCAATATATATATATATTCAAAATAATTCATATATATTCTCATTAAAGCCTATTTAAATCTCACAGACTCTCTCTTTGCTGATCAGCTGATTTGAAACAGGAATTTTGTACTTTAGCTTCTCAGAACTTGCGATACGCATTAAAGTATTTCGCTGTTTATTATCCGCAAACAAACTTTTTCTCTTCTTTTTCTTTTTCTCTCCCACTCTCTTTCACTTCTATCAAATAACTAGCAAATAAAAAGTTCTTTATTTTTTTTCGATTCCACTGCATAACCTTACGATTAAATCGATGAGAATCCTCATTGATTTTACGGTGAATTAAGAGTTTCGAAGTTTCGATGAAGAAGAGATTATCCGATGAAGCTCGCACTTTTTTTCTCGTGCTTTTAATTCAATTATCGTATTCAATTGCACGAGAAACACATCTTTTGTTATTGTAGCACTGTCAATAAAAATAGCGAAAGGAAATTCGATACGTTCATCAAAATAGATAACTTATTCCTCGATCTTTCTAACGGCGTCTTTGTTGACACATCGATTTCCACGGCAAATTTAATATCTCACTCGGCTATCCAACAGTTTTCGATCATTTTCAGCTGGGTGCTCATTTGACACATTGCAGACGACAAAAAGGAACGCCCATGTTGGAGGTCGAGCAAGCGCGACCCTCGCGAAAATATGGCTACCTGTGATTATAAATAAATACCAGCCGCTTTCATAGATCTAAGAATACAATTAGGACATCTATTTAAGAGATGAGAGCGTATACGACTGTTAAGGTTGAAAAAAAATTTTAAACTCTTAACTTTCATTGATTAACATTATATAACTTGTTATCCATCTTTATTTAACCTTACGTTTTATCTTTCACACACATCACGCTCGCAGATGTCAAACATCTGTTCCGAGTCATAATGTATGAATAGCTAGATACGATACAATATACGTAGAGTTGACCCTGAAGTTGAAGTGCCAACTTCGGGAAAAAAATCACATAGTAATTTACAGGAAACAGCTGCTCTAGTACAAAAGAAAATTCAGAATAGAGATATTTCTACGCATATTCGCGGCGGTCAGTTTAAAAATCAAACAAACATGACTGTCGCATGTGACAGTAGCGATACATAACCTCTCTCTTATTTTCATAAAAATATTATAAAATATATGAAATTAGAGAAATAAGATATTATGTAATTATGCAATTATTATGTTATATATTTCACATCTACGTTAAGTAAAATTTATACAAGTTATAAGTATACATAATATATAATCAGTGAGAGTAGTAAACGACAGTTTTTAACTATTTTTAATATGAAGACAAGAAGTCTGATTCCAAAAGTGGAACGCTTAGTTTCCGATGCTAGAATAGCATGGAAAGTTTTAAACGGCGTGTTCGCTGTTTACAAACCACCCGCAGTTACGTATTTAAACATAAGAGACACCATAATCCATCGTCTCTGCGAAGGTTAGGATTTTATTCTATATAATTTGCTTTATTCACACACAATTATATCTTTTTTATAATTTCATAAATCTTGTTTTTTCTTTTTTCGATAAAACTTGAATATATAATTTTAAGTTTAAGTATAAAAAACATAAGAGAAAATGCAGCGCTAAAAGAAAGACCTTAAGAATTTTTCTTTTTCTTTTTTACTCTTAAAGTGAAACAAAAGGATATGCTTATGTATGTGTTGTGGAAGAATCAAGCAGAATGGATACTAATATAAAAAGATATAGATCTTTAATTTTTGTTTAAATCTTAACTTTCTGAAAAGTAACACTTGATTTTCAGACTTGAATAGTATGCACGTTCGTCCACCGATCCAACATGTGTGTATAGAGGGTAATACAACAGACAAGATGAATATAGTCACACATCCTAGCTACGCAGATCATCCTTTAGTAGTAGGACCGCGATATCAACCTAAAGATTTCAAATTAGTATGCGCTAATTATCTGAACACTGACTCGTCAGGACTCATGATTTGTGGTATTAATGATAATACCAAGTGGATTCATAAATTAAAAGCTTCTAAGCCTCCAGTCAGTTACAAGATTAAAGGTATCTTGGGACAAGCAACAGATAATTATTTTAAAACTGGAAAAATCGTCGAGAAGTCTACATATAAATTTATTAAGCGCGATGCAGTTGATAGAATATGTGCTTCCATGCAGGCTGCTCATCAAAGAAAGATGTTTGAGTATGTTGTATGATAAATACCTAAAATATTAATTATTTTGGAAATTTACACCTAATAGTAATCCTTTTCTGCATGTTTAGAATCTGTGGATTAGACATGCAAAGTCAAGCTGCATATGAGTTGGCTATACAAGGTTTAATGAGGCCTGCAGACAACCATATTCCTATGGTTTATACCATAAAATGTGTGGACTTTACATCTCCTGAATTTACATTAGGTAAATGTTATAATTTCTGCTATATAACTCAGATTTCTATTTTTTTATTCATAATTATCTATATCTATTATTATATAATCACATATTGAGATGATCATATACTTTATTTATATATTTCTTTTCAGAAATTGTAGCTATAAACGAAAACGAGATGTATTTGAAAACTTTGGTTCATGATTTAGGGATGCAACTTCACAGTGTCGCTACATGCACTCAAATACTATGTTTTCGATATGCGTTATTCAATTTAGATCTTGCCTTATTGCCAAAACATTGGCAGTTGCAAAATGTTTTAGATAATATGGAACAGTGCCATGATATACTTAATCGAAATAGATATTTATTGAAACAAAAGAATCCGATATTGACAGAACAAGATAATTAACTAAAATTTGTTTCGGACTAAATTTTCAAATATAGAAAATAAAAAGTAAAATATATATATATATATTATTCAAATTATATTATTATAAAAAACATTTATATAATTATGTATATATCTTCGATTTCATGAGAGAATTATATTTGGACAACTAATAATAAAACGGGAGAGAGGGAAGGAAATGGAAGAGTCTTCTAATGTAACATTCATTAATGAAAACGCACGAGATATTTCTTTAAATCAGTAAGCTTGTTAAATCGACATGAATACGTCAACGCTAGTATATTATTGCTTATCATACAATATTATTATTTATTAAAAATCCAATAAGTAGTTTTTACAGAGATTTCTAAGGAGTAATCATTCTCTCACGAAAAGAGTATGTAATATGTATATAATATTAAAAAAGTATATTATCTTGTTTGCATTTCTATCTGTGGAAATAAAAACCATGATTTATTCTTGTAAGAACTATATAAAGTAAAGAACAATTAGGTTTCTCTTTTCTTTGAAACATTGCTTTCTCTACTATGACTTCTTCTCCGGTTTTGGCCCGAGTCAGAATCGTCAGATCTCTCACTGGACCTTAACGATTTTCCTCTCGGTTTCTGTTTATTTGGCCATTGCTGCATTTTCATACTTTTCGCTATCACACGTTTTTGATGATCTAATTGTGGGAATAAATCTGCAGAAAGAAAATATTAACAATGATAAACAAATCAAGAACAATAATCTTAAAGTAAGCTACTAAACTTCAAACTACAAAAGTATATTCTATAAATTAAAATATAATTTTTGAATTCTATGGATAAATAAAAGATTTATTTTCTGTTTTCAATTTCAATTAATATCTTAATAAAATATTAATTCGAAATTCTTACATTATTAAGAAAATTAAGAAATTGTAAAAAGAAATGGCGATCAAATTTTTTTAGACAAAAAAGATTATAAATCAATTTTGAATTATTCTATATAATAATTATTTTATCATTTTATATGTACATAGCATACCTTGAGATTTTTCTAGAGCTTCTTTGGCAGAGTTCATTTCCGCTTCTTGAATACTATGTCCTGAAGCCTTAGCCAGCCGTTTCCCTTGGAAATATACAGCGACTGTATAAACTCTTGTATTAGTCGGTCCTTTACATTCGATGACTCTGAAAGAAAGAAATCGTACGAGATTATGAAAATATTTTTTGCAAACACATACATCTTTCAAATGTGTAAACATCATATACATATATTCAGCAATGTTCGAGACATTCGAAATAAAAGTAAGTAAAACTTTAAGTAAATAATTAAGATTCTTTGTTATTAATTTGTAACATCAGCATTTTATGCTATCAAGTAATAAATTAGTGTTGCAAGTCGTAATTATAACGCATTTCTTTGATGGCAATTCTAGAAAGGCTTTTCTGCCGAAAAACTAAGAACTTACTTGTATACAGGAATGTCTGGCTCCCCACCGTCCATAGTTCTCAAAGTTAAACAGCATTGTTGCAGCTTGCTCTTTGGATCATTCCAGTCTTGATTCATGATAAAATCTTGTAAACGTGGGAAGAAGCATACATCACAAAAGACGTGACAATATTTTAAACCTTTATCAACATAAAGCGCCCCAAGGAAAGCCTCTAATAAATCTGCTCTGTCTTTAGTTTTTAATTCGGCTTTCGGATTCCCGTAAAGGGCATATTGAGTCATGCCAAGATCGTCACAAACGACCGCTTGTGTTTTATTATTTACGAGTGAGCTCCGCAATAACTGCACGATACAGATATTATCATTAGAGATAGATGGAAAAATCACTTGGCAAAATAATCTACAAACAATATATTGCTTACTGATAGATGTCCCTCGTGATGTTCCGGAAAGAATTTGTACAAGTATTCAGAAACGATAAGTTGCAGCACAGTGTCCCCAAGGAACTCTAATCGTTGATTAGATCCTAATGTCAAATTGGTATATCCTATACTACGATCTGTGAACGCTCTAGCAAGGAGACGGATATGAGTGAATTCTATCCCAATTGATTCTTCAAACTTTGTCAGTTTCTGTTTAACATAAGAGAAAATACACGAAAACATGTAAGAGCGTGTCTCGCAGATGAAGAAAACTTATTTAAATGCTGAACAATACATACCTGTAGCAGCTCGAAACTGGGAATCCATTGTCTATCTCCCGTCGGTTCCTGTTCCTGAAGAGGATGCCGCGGATAATTGACCCAAACTTTGGCAAGATCTTCCTCACCTTTGAAGAGCGTCTCTCCGAAATGCCGCAGTTCGTCAGAGAGTTTCGTGCGTGATCCGGATTCGTGCCAAAATTCTCGCGGTAGCTGGGATGTGTAAGGGCCAGTTGGAGCAAATATCTGTTCTTAAATTCGTAACCCAACGTGCGTTCCAGATTGTCCAAGGACTTGTGAAACCGCAGATGACAGACGAGTACCGGTATCAGCATCGCATGCTGCACAATATCACACATAATGCCGGTTCTGTAAAATCCGTCGGAGGTGACATCGACTGTGACGTCGCGCTTCATCTTGCTCTGAGTACGTAACTCTTGCAGTTTGTTTTCCTTTGCCTCTAACTTTCTTTTATCTTCGAAGGAGGGTTTCGACATATTCGCGAGTAGATGTCGAAATTTCACGTAATCTCTCCATGCTTTTTGATAGCTGGATAAATTAAAGAATTAATTTTTAGAGGGTTATAGTTTTTAAGTGCAAATATATTGTGTTTAAAAAAATATAACTTTTGACAAATTTGAAATGTGGTTTTGTACATTTGTATTATTTAGAGTAAAACATTTCTAAAAAATTATCTCTGTATTTTTAAGCAAAAAATGTAATTTGTTCTTAGATTTATTATATATACTTGTATAAAACACAAAGCATAAATTATTATATATAAATTAGGATATATAACTTTAAATTGATTAAGATTTTTAATTGATTAAGAACTTTATTTAACAATTTTATTTGGCAAATCTTTTGCATTAAACTAGTACAAAAATATGACATTTTATTGATAGTAAGTGATTACTTACTCTGCATTTCCAGCATAGCTAAGTTGCGGCGGGCGGATACCAAAATGTACTATCTCGGGATAAGCGATTATGCCGGGTGGCTGGTCCACTTGATTTCTATCCAGCTGATCAACACGAACGCTACATGGTTTCTTCCCCGGATAAGTCACAACCATTCCCTTTACCTCGTCCGCGAAATCTTGCCATTTATATTGCTGCATTGCCACCAATCTAGGTAGATCGTCTGGATCTATTAGAAGAGTACTGCTCTTTATCAAATAATTTAGAACTTCGTTCATCGACAAGATTTCTTGGCCATTATCAGCCAAATCACGTACAAATCTTGGCATAAAATGGAACTGTCCACAGCCGGATTTATCCTGTGCCGCGTGCAAATCGAAATCTACGAGCTCCAAAATTTCTCTGAATAGATAAATCTCTGTGAAAATTCAGAATACTATGCTTAGAATGAGCGCGATAAAGAAAAAATATGGTGTTTAAAAAAATATATAGCAACTACTTACGAAAATAATCAAGTTCCTGTATCGTGAAATTTTCTGGCAATTTCTCTTCTATGTAGAGGATTGTGTATTCAATATTAAATCGTATAACTTTACACGTGGGTAATTTAACCAGCGGAAAATGAGAGAGCATAGAAAATCCTTCGAATATAAATTCATGTTCGTCGTGTTTGATAATCGTCGGTGTTTTGGTGAGGAAATTAGTCGGTGGACTGATTGTTATTCTATAGTGATACAATTTGTCCGCATTATTCGTATTTAATTGACACTTGTTTATTGCACCTTCTCCGGCATAAATCCCATGTCTTATGCCTGAGCGCCGTGATTTCGCACTACATCTGCATAATGGACCATCATTCATCTATAAAAAAAAATTTATAATATATTTTTAAATATCTAATGCATAGATTTTTAAGAATTGAGATGAGACAATTCTCGATAATTACCTCTCCAGGATCATTGAACCACATTTCAGGATGCAATCTTTGTGGATGCTGTTTCTTTGCCATTAACTCTTCCATTGTTCTATCATCCTCATCCATAGAGCTATCACTATCAGATGAAGAGCTACTGCAAGCTTCAGATTTATGACGACAAAGACGTGCTCTAGTTTTACGCGGAGGTGGCTCATAAGGTGGCTAAGTAAATTAAAAAGATATAATCAATTTTATTGTATTTTATTAAGATAATTAATAAGAATATATGTACCTGCAATGCTCTTGCTTCGGTTGCTCTGTCAATTAATAATCTCTTAAAAGTCATACATAATTCCTGTAGCTTAACAGTACTTCTCATTATCTTTGGATTATTCTCGTCTCTAAAATAGTAAAGATCCGCTGGTGCCGTGCGAGTCCAAATCTTTTTCTCGCTTTCAAGTATGCCTTCTGATCCCATTGCTGATAATTCGTTCAATTTTCGCTCAATGTCTTTACTTGTTGCACAATAATTCCGTCTAAAAGATATAAAAAAATTCTATAATTAGTAGAAACCTTTAGTTTGTAAATATAAGATGATTTTTGCACATGAAACAAATATGTCGATAAGAATCAAGACTGTAGCTAATTTAATTCTTATTAAAAGAAAAAAAAAAAAGCTGCAACATTGTTTCTTATTGTATCTGTCATATACTAAATACAAAAAGCTATTATCTAAAGGGAGCTACACGTATATAAATCTTACCTATATTTTTCTAAAAGTAATTCTCTTTCAGTAGGACCCTTTGTCCGTTTAGCATTGATTGGCGTTTTATCTCGGCTCGAACGAGATTCCCGTGATTTTGATCTCTTTCTAGTTCTATTTCTTGTATAAGATCCCTCTGAACGAGACGTATAACTTTCGTGCCTCTTATATGAAGACCTTCTCTCGAAATATACACTATCATTTGTGGACTCTCGTAAATTAGACATTCCCTTGCTGTGCTGACGATATCTGTCCCTGTGATCGTCGTATCGTGATCTATATATTTTCTCCGACCTACCTTCTGGACTTCTAGATCTTTGTCTACTATTGCTACGATTGGGCAAGGTTTCCCTATTGTTGTATTTCCATTCGGGCTCTTTTATTCTTTGCGATGATTCATACTTTTGCGTTGAACATAGTCTCTCGTTATCGTTATACGTCTTACTCGTATCATAGCAAGAACTAGATGTATTTTGGTATGATGTATTTGTTGTCCAATTTGAGGTAGAGTTATTAGAATGCCATTCGTTGTCAGCACTATTATTATACATGTCTCTGGAATTTCTATCCCAATTTGCATAATTTTCACTTGCATATTGTTGTGCAGATTCTGTTTTGTCATAATATTGATTATTATACTGTGGATCTGTTTGATTCTGATAAGGGACATTGTTCTGAAAATTGGTCGCTCCATCATGATACGTAGGAGGTACAAGCTGATACATCGAGTTTGTCGATTTAACGTTCGATACATTAGGAGGAGGTACATTGTACGAAAAGTTGTAATTCGGTGGTTGATTGTAATTAGGCGGTGGAAAATTTGGTACTGGAGGTACTGGATAGTACTTCATATGCTCCTGACTCCAATAGTACGTTTGTCCCGTGTTCATTGAAGGATTTGCCATCTTCGTGTGAAATTAGTTTTTCTTATTAACTTCTAATAAATAATTTTCGAATTAATTATATCAATGTTGGAAATTTCTCAATAACTATAACATTCAATAAAATAATTCTAATGTTTTATTTACCGATTTTATTTTTCTTCCTTTTTTTATTAATATTTTAACATATTACTCTCACACTTGTTTATATCAACAAACATTGATTACACATTGATACTGGTAGGTAGGTACAGAAACGTAATGTAACATGTAACATGATGAAAAAATGACTAAACTGGCTTTAAAGCTTCCATAGCTAGAATCTCTCTATTCTAGATCAGCTGTTCCTCTGTAAACTGAAATTCCCCTTTTGTGCTGCTCTCCCATAATTATATTGGTTCTCGCTATAGATTTATAGATACAGGAAGTATAGACTACTTCCATGATGTAAATATATTATGTTAATATATTATGTAAATATATTATGTTTACATCATGACTGCTTTTATCATGCCTTCATCGTGAAAAAATGAAAATGATCTATATTTTTTACGTCTATATTCTTGCAGCTTCTCGCATACGCGAAGAAGCAGGAAGAAGCGATGACCAATCATCTCCCGCTACGTATTTTGCAATTTCCGTAAAAGCCGGAACAAGATTGGCCATCGCTCAAGTCACGCGTCGTTTTTGCGCGTTACGCCGAATGCATAAGCAGAGCAAGTCCGCGAAACGCAAGAAACTTGGAGACACTATGTTCCGCCAATCGTATTCGAGTATCCTCGCGCTCGCAGCGTTGCAAACGCGACCTTACGTTTCGTTGCGACCGTAACCGCACTTCCCCTCTCTCTTCTCGCCGGGCACTGTAATTCCTTTCAGTTTAAGCAAATGGCGTCGTACGGGTGGATATCGTTGCGTCAAATTTCACAAATCATGAATGAATTCTAAGTGCCGTCGCGCATTTCTCATGAATTAAGAATATTATCAGTTCTGGTGAGCCCTCTCTCGACTGCGGTATATTTTGTGCGAGCGGGACCGATCGCGCGACACGAGAAACCGCGTATTTTCCTAGATGTTTTCTCAGTATGTAAACAAACATTGTATCACCGAGCGCTCTCGAGTTGCGAGCCGCGATGTTTTAAAAAAAGATCTCGTAATTATCGCGAGACTACTTGTACCTTTTGCAATTTATATGTATAAGTATGCGCGGGAACGTGTTGGGTTCGAATAGATTATATTGTATAAAATTCAATGTGCCTTTTCTACAGCATCTCTAATGGTCCATCTTAATCTTTTATTTTTACCGCGCATCTTTAATATGTCTTCTTTTATTACATGTGTGTAGTTTTTAATTGATAAAAAAAATACAAGTAGTATGAAAAGTATGAAAATACATTTTATTTATGTAAAATCCATCTCTTTAATATCGCAAAGTGTTACAATATTGCACATATACTATATATATAGTTTAATTTTTAATAAAGTATATATAACATTATTTTGTATTTATTAAATTATGCGTGACTGTGTTAGGTGTAATAATCCTCAAGTTGTAATATATATTTTAATAGACACTTGTGAGATATATGATGTAACGCTTGAATAAATATTTTCAGTAAGTTGCGCCAAGCGCATATCAAACAATGAACGAAGTAAGCGGAGGAAAACAAGATATACCCAATACCTCGAATTGGGAAACTTTATCGGGGCAATCGGTGTCATCGTTGCCAGTCATGCATCATCACCATCAGACGCTACAGCAAGATGCAAATTCGACAATGGCGCAAGTTATAGTTCCTACACCTGTGAAACTCCAAACACCCATATTAACACCGACGCAAACTGTAGCCGATCATTGTCCTCAAATTGGTCACATACAACAATCACCCTTGATAACTCAGGTATATCGGAAGATCTTTTATTTCTTTCTTTTTAACAATTTAAAGTTATAAGGTTATAAGAAAATTATTATAGGGTACACCACCGGGAAGCTTTCCGGAACTCGAGTTATCTGTGGAACTTCAACAACAAGGTTGGAAAAAATTTTGGAGCAAACGAGAAAGTCGGCCATATTTCTGGAATAAGTTGACTGGAGAATCTCTGTGGGTAGTACCTTCTTTGAAACCTCAGGTACTGCAAAATAGTACAAATACCTGTATTATGTAGGGAAGGGAAAAAATATAACATATATATATTTTACCAAAGTTTGATCCAATCACGGATCCGCTTGGTATTTGTGGTGTACCACCTCCACCTGGAAATGGAACTATTCCACCTAGTACACCGGGAGGTACATTGAAGCGGAGAGCATCGGAAGACGGGACTACTCCACCAGCAAAGAAATTTATATTGGCGTAAGAGTTCAATTTTATCGAGATATTAAAAAGTGTCAATATATGAATGAACAATTCGTTTTTGTTATATGTTAGGGGTCCATGGGATCTGGAGATACCTACGAATGTTATAATATACGAGAGAGCGCCGTCAAGTTTGCCGCATGTTCATCCCGAAGCGGAAGCTCTGCGCTGTGCATTATTAGCGAAATTACGGCAATGTTATCAAGAGTTATGTCATACTCGTGAATGTATAGACGCGCCGAAAGATTCTTTCAATAGATGGCTGATGGAACGAAAGGTCATTGATTGTGGCTCGGATCCGCTGCTACCGAGTCAATGCTTTCCCGAAATTTCTATGTCTATGTATCGCGAGATCATGAACGATATCCCCATCAAATTGGTGAGGCCAAAGTTCACGGGTGACGCGAGGAAACAATTATCGCGTTACGCCGAAGCTGCGAAGAAGATGATAGAATCCAGAGCGGCGTCTTCGGAAAGTCGGAAAGTGGTTAAGTGGAACGCGGAGGACACTTTTCAATGGTTAAGAAGAACGGTAGGCGCCACGTTCGACGATTTTCAGGACAGGCTTGCTCATCTAAAGCGACAATGCCAGCCGCATCTCACAGAGACTGTTAAAGCCAGTGTGGAGGGTATATGCCTGAAAATTTATCACCTATCGACGGAATACGCGAAGAAAGTAAAAGATAAGAACAATCAAATTCTCAAGGATAATGGTCTAGGAGACGTTATACCCTTAGGAGGTCCGGCTAGTACGCAGAGAAAGGTTTGGTGTTACCCAGTGCAATTCTCTCTCCCCACACCGAGACTTCCGCAAGTGGATTATCTCCCAGAACGCGAGCAAACGATGTTGCGCTTTCATGGTGACACCATGTATATCAACAACACACACCTCACCAAACTGGAACATTTGTATAGGTACAACTGTTTCGACGATAAAAAGTTCGAAATGTTTCTGCCACGCGTTTGGTGTATGCTGAAACGTTATCAGACATATTTTGGAATCAACGAAGGCCAAGCGACTCAGATGGCTCTCCCAGTTACAGTTTTTGAATGTCTTCAGAGATCGTTCGGCGTTACGTTCGAATGTTTTGCTTCGCCCCTAAATTGTTACTTTCGGCAGTATTGTTCAGCATTTGCCGACACAGACTCTTATTTCGGATCAAGGGGACCGTTTTTGGACTTTAGGCCGGTCAGCGGCTCGTTTCAAGCAAATCCGCCCTACTGTGAGGAACTTATGGAAGCCATGGTCAATCATTTTGAGCGCTTATTGGCCGATTCGGCGGAGCCCTTGTCGTTTGTGGTATTTTTACCGGAGTGGCGAGATCCAGCTCCTAACGCGCTCATAAAACTTGAAGGCAGTCATTTTAAACGCAAACAAGTAGTGGTGCCTGCTATGGAACACGAATACAGACACGGATTTCAACATATTCTTCCAAAGTGCGTTTACGAAACACGAATAAATTCCGGACTCGTTCGTGAAAATAATTTATTTCATTTTGTAATATATTTCCAGAGGTGAAGTGAACATCCGAGCAGTACACGGTACGCTGGTTGTATGGTTACAAAATCCAGCTGGCGCAGGACGATGGGGCCCCACGGAGGAGCGAGTTGAGGCCTTATTGGAAGCCTGGCGACCCGGTCGGGAACGGGAGAGGGACAGACAAGAACTCCTTTCCCCGCCGAGGCAAACGCATCAACCGATACCATCGACGCCAGTACCTGTACCCACAACACCAGCTGTAACAACGCCGACTGTGCCACCCGTACAGACACTACCCAGTCATTCTGTATAATTGTTAAATGATCTTCACAAGAAAAACATATAAATAATTTCAGCGTCTGGAAATAGATATAATCTATATACTTGTAATATAACTAAAACTTTTTCGTTAAGAAATTTCACATTTTGTATTGTAGCATATATATATATATAAAAAAACATATCAGCGTCTGGAAATAGATATAATCTATATACTTGTAATATAACTAAAACTTTTTCGTTAAGAAATTTCACATTTTGTATTTTTTGTATTGT